TCCCTGCCGGAGCCAGCGGAGGGTAGGTACCGGCACCGGGACCGGTGCCGGCGGCAGTGGGGCCTGGGGCCCTGCCTTTCCCGGGCAGCCCGGGGACGGCGCAGGGCAGCGGCTGCCGGCGTTGGGATCGCAGTGCTGGAGCAGCAGGAAGAGCCCTGGCGGGTTGGCTGGAAGGGCGGAGGACCGGGGAGGGGGAAGGCTATGGCCATGCCCAGCCAGGCAGGTCCGGGTCTGGCTGTGGGCCCGGCCCTCGCTCCCTCCCTCCCTCCGGCCCTCCCGGCTCCGCTCCGGCCGGGGGAGGCGGGCCGTGGGGCGGCAGCGGGTGCTCCTCTCCCTGGAAGGAAAGAGGGGGGCTCGGCAGGCTTTCTCCTGCCGTCCTGGGAGTGGGGGACCTCTCCTGTTGGGACTTCTCTGGAGGTGGGAGTGCGGGTTGGATGGCAAAATTAATTTCCCCCTGGAGTCCTCCTTTCTCCTGCCCCGCAAGGAGAGCTGGCGGGGAGAGTTCTCCGGGCTCTCCCGGTACCCTGCCCACCTCTTTGTGCGTGCACGAAGTCCTGAGCACGGGCTGCCCACGAGTGGGAGCGGTGCCCTCCACGGGAGCTGCCCAGCAGCCAGAGGGGAGCGCGGGTGGGAGAGAGGTTCCTTACTGGATGTCAGAGTCTGTGGGCAGAAAGTTTGTGACCAGCTGAGAGCAAACTGCCTCTCATCTCTAGTGGTAGCTTCCTTTTCCTAGTTCTGCTTCAGTAATTCCTTCTCTTGAGCTCTAGGAATCCATGTGTAAGCAATTTTCAAAGCTGAACAGGTATTCTGAGAGTAGGGCTATTCGTGTCATGTTTTCAGCTGTCTCCACCGAATAGCTGACAATTGTATGTGCTAAAGCAAATGCACCTCTCTGAGGCAGAAATAAGGGAGTGAAACGGCAGAAGCTGTTACTCAGGAGAAGTGGTTGCCCAGAGTTTTCCTTATGAGCATTTCAGGCCTGTTCTTGTCTCACATTACCTTCAGTTCTTCTGAATTGCCTGTCCCTTCTAGTGAGGGATTTAAAAAACATATTAGTGTCTCTCTGCAAGAAACTCTTATCAGGCTGGGACACCAGTTATTATGCTGACTGTTGTTCCATGGATGGCTGCAAATCACGCTGTGGTGTTTCTCCTACTGGAAGGCTTCCAGATGAGCAGAAGTATTTACAACAGCTGTACACCTGCTTCCCTGTGAACTTTCAGGAAAACAGTTATCTGAGGATTTGGGGCACTTGCCTTTTAGAGTGCAACAAATCCCCATTTGCTCTGGAATATTTATGAAAGGGTGTATGAAATTCTGTCCAATTTGTGTTTTTCTTAGAGCAAATACTTGCGTTGACATGGTTATTGCTACAGCAGATAGCAATGATTTTGAAAGCTGGGTAGAGAGATCCTATGACTGAAGTAGCAGAGGATGCTGCAAGACAGGAATACAAGGCACGAGCACAGTTGTAGTGGCTTAGAGATGTTCAAAGGTTCTTCTTGTTCTGTTTCAGAATTGAGAGTGGAATTTATCAGTGGATCAGCAGTACCTAGATGTAGTTTGACTGCCTGCTTGAAATTAATGTACTGGTTAGTGTCGCTAGCAAATCCCACCTTAGCCTTCAGCATTTTCTAGGCCCTATGTTTCCCCTTATTGCCATTTCCTAAGAATAAAGCTTCAGCAAGTCTACATTTGCACATAAATATTCCTCTCCCAATCTGCAGAATTGCTTTCCTTTTTCAGAAGGATGATGTTCTTCTTTTCTGTGGTCAAGGAGTTTGAAGTTTCAATTTGAAAAGAAGTATGTTCCCTTTTTATAATACAGTCTAGTGCTTTTCATTCCAGAAGTTCAAAGTTCCAGAAACTGAATGTGGACTTCAAAGTGATAATTATAATAGCTCCAAATTTTTGTGATATTTTATAAAAGATAATGTAAAATCTAAGGCATTCTCTTGGATTTTCAAAGGCCTGTGGTGTATTCCTAATTTGGGATAATTACAGAATTGTGAACATCCCTGAATCTACAGTAAGACTGGTGATTTTGGCATCTACTGGACTCATTTGGTCAATAGAACTGTGCTAGGATTCAATGGTAAAGAATAGTTTCTGCCTGAAGTTTTCCATTCAGTCCAGAGTGTTTAGATGAATTTATGGTTAGAGGACAGGGGCAGGACTGGCCACACTGAGCATGTAGGAGCTGCCAGATTTCCATGATGCAGGTGTGTATTTAACTCCTCTGAATGATTCAGCATTCACCTCAGTGACATGCCAAAGAAAACACTAGCATGAAACAAGGCCCCAGGACATCCAGTTACACAAAAGGTTCTATTGTTACACTTCTTTCTGAAAAAGGTAATTTATCAAATTAAACTTGTGCCTTTTTAGGGCTTACAGAAAAGAATCTTCAGATTTTTATGAGACAGGGAAAATGTTTCATGTACTGCCTTGGACATAAATTTTGCTCATCCCAAACATTCTTCAAGTAAATGAAGAGGATGATAAATAAAGCATGTATTAGTATAGTATTAATATTAATTTAAAATACATTTGCCATCAAACTATTTCAATATTTATTTGAGGTTGTCAAGACTAACTCCTACGTCTTCCCTCACAGACACATTATGGCATTAATTTCTAGATGCATTATACAGATCTCTCTCATTTGAATTTCAGGAGAAAATTGTGGGATGGAAGCATTGTGTTATTTTGTGTTGATGAGCCTTATGCAAGTTACATTATGCCATTGGGCCACTAAAATGAATTGTGAATTGTCAAAGAACTGGTGAGCATTAGGATTCTTGGAGCTTTTGACAGAGTAGTTTCAAGATTACAGAAATATGTGGTACCTCCGTACAAGAGGGAATGTAGCCACTGCTTTCAAAGCTAGGGTCTGCATGACCACTCTCCTAGCATGGAAGCAGCAGCAGTCATGCATCTAATAGCTACAGGACAGCAATTCTTGATTGCCTTGTAGGATTATTATATGCCTTGTATGATGATTGTATGGCCAGTGATGAGTGGTGTCTCTGGGGCTCTGTCTTGGGACTGGTGATGTTTGATATCTTTACCAATGATGTAGGCAGTGGGACTGAGTGCACCCTCAGCAGGTTTGCAGGTGACACAGAGCTGAGGGGTGTGGTTGACACAACAGAAGAAGGGACCATCCAGAGAGACCCGGACAAGCTTGAGAAGTGGTGGTCCTGTGAGAATCTCATGAAGTTCAGTAAGTCCAAGTGCAATGTGCTGCACCTGGTTTGGGGCAATCCCAGACATGGGCACAGACTGGGAGACGAACTCATTGAGAGCAGCGCCTTGGAGAAGGACTTGGAGGTTCTGGTAGAGGAAAAGCTGGGCATGAGCCTGCAGTGTGTACTTACAGCCCAGAAAGCCAAATGTACCCTGGGCTGCATCACAAGAGGGGTGGCCAGCAGGTTGAGAGAGGTGATTTTCCCTCTCTACTCTGCTCTTGTGAGACCACATGTGGTATACTGCCTTCAGCTCTGGGATCCCCAGCACAAGAGAGATGTGAACCTCCTAGAGTAGGTCTAGGGGAGGCCACAAAGGTGTTCTGAGGGCTGGAGCTTCTCTCCTACAAATATAGACTGAGAGAGCTGGGGTTGTTCAGCATGGAGAAAAGAAGAATCTAGTACTTAGAAGGGGCTTATTAAAAAGGGAGAGTGACTTTTTACAGGGCAGGTAGTAACAGGACAATGGGGAATGGTTTTCAACTAAAAGAGAAGATACTTGTATTACATGTTAGGAAGAAATTCTTTACTCAGAGGATAGCAAGGCACTCTCACTGCCGAGAGAAGCTGTGGGTGGCCCACCCCTAGAAGTGTTTAAGGCCAGGTTGGATGGGGCCCTGAGCAATCTGATGTAGTAGGTGACATCAGCAGAGGGGTTGGGACTAGCTGATCTTTAAGGTCACTTCCAACCCAAACTGTTCTGTGACCACCTTACAATAGTTCTGTGAACTATTCTATGACCACCTAACAATCATATTCATGACTTCATTACAAAGTGGATGAGTCTTGTGTCTTGTAAACCTGAGCTTAGTTCCCAGCCCCACCTATGTGGCCTTCACCATGACTTAACCCCAACTGTGACTGCTAGTAAAAACTGTGAGAGGTGTGGAATGCTTGTAAAGTAACAGTAGGAGAGGTGCAGCTGGCTGTGAGGCTGTCTGTAGTGCCTTGGGCACTGCCAGATATGTCTTCTCAACTACAGTGTAGTGTTTGTGTTGCTTTTTATTTTCTCTTCTATGAAATCAAATAAAGTCCTTCTGCTGTTTGTACCCATTGCTGCTCTAGCAGGGACCATAACCATAGTAATAATATATTTTCCATAGCAGATGTGCAGACAAAAGCTCACCTAATCTCCATGCTGCTGTACCAGCAGTGGTAACAGAAAACGGTGCCTGCATCTCTGCAGGGTGTTATCGGTTCTGTTCTAGTGCCATCTCTGTTATACTCCTGTCTTTGAGATTAATACCCAGGCTGTGGCAACTGGGGCTGTTCTTTTGGTGCTGATTTCAGTGATGGTTCAGAACTACATAAAAAAGGTTTCATCCTTTTTTATGTGGTTCTGTTTTGAGATGTGATTACAAAGCTTCTTATGAGACGTGTCTTAATTCTGCTCCAAATCCATGATGGAAGAGGAACTTGGCAAAGAAAAATCATTCAGCACTTCCATGACAGTTGTGAGGAAAATATTGTATGTGAGCAGAGACAGAGCAGTCAGAAGCCAGAAAATTTTTGCTGTTACATCCAGGATGTTTGAAAGTGGCAAGTGGTAAGTTCAGCCACCTCAGGGATTCTCAAAGGTAATGACAGCTTCCTTATAGGCAAGAAATGGCCTGGGGAGAGGAGTAGTATGCAAAGGGCAAAGGAGGCACTGCAGGCAAGCACTGACATCTTGAATTCTCTTAAGAGTTAATTTTTTCTTTCTTTTTTTTTCTCTTCCACCTCTGTCTGTTGCAGGAGGTCTGAGGAGGTGGTGCAGGGTTTTAGTGATGTTATAGACTCTCCCACTGAAGGCTTTCCATGTGTCCTCACTTCTGCTGTCCCCAACAAGGTAAAAGCAGTCCGTGTTTGGCTCGGGATTGGTGTATGCTTTGAGTTATGTGTGCAGAGGAATTGACTGAAATCAAGCTTGGGTGCATGTGTGTCTTACAGGTATAGTTGCCTCCTTTTGTGAGAATCCTAAACTTGCTAATTTGACCAGTTCTTATGCCATTCTATCTCAAGTCAATCTGACCCATTGAAAGAGAGAAATTCCTGATACCTGACTGACCGGGTTTCAGGTCAAGCTTTTGCAACACAAGCAGAAGACAATTTGGCCAGTTGTATTGTCCATGCTACCAATTAAGGAAGAACAATTTCATCAGGTCTACAGCAAGCAAATAGTTTCTTTGCCAAAATATGGAAGGAGCTGTTGGCTCCTTCAATATCTGGGTTACCACAGAAGATAATGTTAGCTTCTGCAAATGTCAAATTGTTTTTCTCTGTTGTCTTTTCCTTTTCACAGACTGTGGACTTGTTTGAGATGATTGAAAAAATGCAGGTAAGGAGAAGTAATTCTGTCAAACTTTGGGATCTCTTAATTTTTGTAGCAAACAAATAATCAGCTACTATTTGTGCCATTGCTTCACTCACAATATCCTTTATTGTGGTCTTACAGAATGTTTAGGTCTTCTAGGCTCAATCTCTTACTCTTCAATGGGATTTCAAAAGCATTTTTCTGTGTTCATTTTTCCATGTCAGCATGATGGAAGTGATAGACACAGGTTATTATAATCCTGTCTGTTCTTTGCAGAAGTGTGATTCTGAGAGAAAATCAAAGTTGCAGTAAGTTATCTCTGGCATCTTCTTCAGGAAACTCTGTTCTGCTGGGTAGCAGATATAATGACAGGTGATTAATGGGATGTTAACCTAACTGCATTTAGCAAGGTCAGACAGTTTAATAAACAACTACTGTAGGTCCTGTCTTTAACTTGTGCAAGAAGGAAGGACTCTGGCTTAATTCTTACACAGAAATACATGCATTTGGCTGCATATATTTTGTTATAAACTTAAAACAGGACAGAGTTGGTTTTTTCCTCCTTTTACTGTATCAGATAAAGACATAGTAATATGTTATATGTGTTAATACCTAGCAATGAAGTCTTCATATTTTTCAGATTATGTGTTTTCAGAGCATCCTTGCAGGTTTCCAGTATTTTCCCTGAGTGGTGCACCTTCTTTAAAGTGCTGTGGTTAACTTTGACCTAACACAACCCATAACATGGCACATAACTCCTGCCTTTTATTATGTACAGGGATTAAACTTACCAAAACAACTTAACTTCTTTTCTGGAATTTGGGTAATCAAATTATGAATATGAGGAAAATGTCAGAATTTAGTGAGACTACAAAGGTGAGGAGATGGAAGGTAGCAGCAAAATGCTGAATTTAGAGTTATGAGGCTGAAGTACTTTTTGGCAGACTGGAGAGGAGGGTGGAAGGGAGGGGCTGAAGATTTATCTGCCATGTATTCATGCATCCATGTATTCTGTGCAGACAGACACAGACCTTGCAACCACTGCACTGACATCCAAACTGTGTTTGGGATGTGTTCTCAGTGCTTTAGAGTAGCAAACTCTGTAAGTGTGCCTGGTTCATTTAACTGCAGGAAAGTAAGCTTGAGCAAGCAGTGCTGCGTCAATTCAAGCACATGTTCGAAGGCTGTGACAGTCCTTTCCAGGCCTTTTGAAATATGGATAAGGATGAGTCCCTACCAGGTGTCCCTCAGTGGAAGACTGGTGCTTAAGATTGTCAGTGTTTCAGTTTACCATATGGAAAGCCTGACTGGATTTGCACCTCTTTAGTTAGAGAGATAGCAGGGAGCTGATGGGAATCTCCAAGGCATGCAGACTGCCTAATTTTGCATCTATGATGTTTTCTTAGCTGCCCACTATCAAGACTTTATAGCTTTTTTTTTTTATTATTTAATCTTGTTTTGTCACCTAAGATGCACGAGGAGGATCAATAACTGCTGTTTCAGTATAATAGATTTTTTTGAAAGTTAAGTGTTTTCCAAAAGAAAAAAAAATTTCTAATACAATTTATTGTCTTTGTTTAGATTTTTACTGATTCTTTATTCTTTTTTGTTTGTTTTTGCTTTCCCTTTCCTTCCATTTGACTGTGACTATCCTTTAGATTTGTTGAATCATTCTTGTAAGCAAAATCTGGGATTTTCCTTAGCAATCAAAGTGAGTGAAAACCAAAGCAGGAGACTTGAATATTTCTTCTGTAAAATAACAACAAAAAAGCCTCAAGATAGAATTGATTATTGAGTACTTTACCATTGGATTGGAATATAATTGTTGGACTGAAAATTAGGGTAGCCATTTCACATACTGTGTGATAAATTGACAGGTAAAGTTGTACTCTCTTTTTACACTGAAACAAATCCCAAGATCAGGGAAAGAAGTTTACCTTTTTTTTTTCTTTCTCTTTTTTTTTTGCTTTTCTCTTCAATTTTATTAATCATTTCTTGGAAATAAATGGGCTACTGGCCACTTTGTTCTGTGCTTACAGATCTAGTGAAGTCACTGTATATACTCTATTAAGGACACCTAGTAACATGTTCCTCGCTTGCTTTGCAGTGCAGGCAATCGAAAACCAAGGAAATTTTATTTCAGGTCTTCGTATGTTTGCATAGCCGGTCCCTCTTCACTTGACTGCTTTTGTTCACTCCCTCTGTTCTGCATTCTTACAATTTCTGCATATTCAGTTTTATTTTCTCACAAGTACTTTCATGGCTTTTTTTCCTGTGTCCCCTTTTGTATGCAAGTTGTCTGTTTTGAACTAGTCCCCTCAAAGCAATGCTCTTTCCCCATAAAATATGTGTATTATCATAGCGTTGTTTTGCCATGTTGGACCCTGACTCTGGGTCTGGACACCTTTTTCTCTGTCATTCATTCTTTCATCCCGCTCAGGCCAGGTGTTTACCCTGTGCAAGACCTTGGGAATATGAGATTCCCAGAGTGATGCTGTCTCCAGTTAGCTACCCAGGGAAACTGGCAGTGCTGCAAGCCAAACCAGCTCAAACCAGAAGGATGTCTCAAGGGGTGGCTGAGACTGTTTATTCCTCTCCCTTTTGAGGCACGACAGTGATCATCAAGCAGTTGTTCTGCCCATGCTTTGATGCTTCAACAACTTATGCTGCATGTTTCCTGTGGTCTGGTTACCCTTTAAAGTAAAGCTTTGGACTGTACATCCCAGGGTTGCATTACTCTTACCTTAAGCTTTGCTCTAGAGGAGAGGCTGGTAGATTTAAACTTGTCTTCTGCTTCCAGGCTATCAAGAGCTTCCTTAACAGTGCAGAGTCATGGAATGTACTGGTACATTCCTTTGCTCTCTGTAGAGGCTCTGATACAGAGCTCCTTTACAGCAGCCCAGAAAGTTTTCCCTCAGGCTTGCTGAGATACTGGTCTCCTACCAGGACCTCCTTTGAAACTGGAAAATTCTTGCAGTTCTCAGATCTGCCAAAAATGCCAAGGAAGGAGAGAGAAATATTAGAAGATTGCAGTTTCCCAATCTCCATTTCTATCCCTGTACTTCCCCCAGTTTGTTGCGGAAGTCTGTGGCTGTTTTGTATCTGTGTGTCCATCGTGCCTCAGCCCTGTTTTGACAGTACCGGACTTTCTGGTAGTGACAGAACTTTCTGTCTCTTTTTCAAATCCCTGTTTCAGAACCTGGTCTTCCTTGTGAACCTCAACTCAGTAGGTTGACAACTGAAATTCGAGACCACATCAACAAAGCACTTTTTAGCACTTACATTCCGTGAACTCAACTTTTTCGCCTTTACAACTTCCCTAAATGCAAAATGGTTACTAAGTACTTCTGCAAAAGATAAAGGTTGCTTGTCAACCTGTGTTCCATCTTAATTTCACAACTCACCACATCCTGGTAATTGGTTATTCATTTTGTCAATGCTGTGTACTGACATCACAATTCAAAACATATTCTAAAGGTTTCCTATGAAGAATGTTTCACAGCTGGTATTTGTTTAGTCTCCATTGTTGAAAGTACAAAAGGAAAACAATTTTTTTGGGGAAGGTATGTAACTGTCTTTAAACTCAGCTTTTGTGGTTTGATATTGTGTCATCCTGTAGACAACATGTGAAGCTTCTTTCTCCTAGTAGAGCTAAGGAAAATAATTTGGTTTTTTGTTACCTGCTCATCGTTCCTCACTCACTTTACTGTGTTTCTATATTTAACCAATTAAAATTTGTTGTTACTGCTACTTTTTGTGATTGAACTCAACTTCAGACTTCTGAAGAATAATCTCATGCATCTATTACTAGTCTCCCTTACCCTGGAGTGTGGCCATACTGTTTTACTTCTGATGTTTCTAAGAGCATTTTAAAGGTGTTAAGCATTTGTTGTGTACTCAAGGTCTGGCTCCTCATGAGTTCATGAACGTTTAAGTTTTTTTATGGCTCCTTCTTAGGTTCTTTTAATAAACTTTCTCATTTTCCTAAAACCTTGTTTTTATGTGAAGTAGATGTGTTGGGTTTTTTCTTTCCTTTTTGTTCCCCTTTTGTTGCTCCTGCAAAGAGCATCCTGATTATTATGAATCCTCAGTAGTAAGGTTGCTGTTGCTCAGTGTTAGTGGTACTATGCTAGCAGTTTTTGCACCCTGTACAGCTGGAGCATTGCCCAAAACTTTTGTTCCTGAGCCTCCTAAGTCTCCACTGTAGAGCTCCTCTGAGATTTACCTATTTCTACCAGAATCTAGTTGACAAGCTAGTTCCACTGTAGAATATGTGCACAGGCATGGCTGTTATAAATCAAATCCTGCTTATTTTCACAACAAAGTCAAGAGCTGCTTATCCTGTCTGGAATCCCTGATTAGCCACGCCAGTAACTGATGGTATATAAAAATGTAGTCTCAGCAACATGTTCCAGTATGAGAGTTACAAGATTTAGGTGACAGTAGTTGAATGCTCATGTACTGTGCATAAGAGATACCTGCATTTTAAATTCTGGTCCTCACCTTCCTATCTGATGATGCAAATTCTGCTTCTTACTCTTCTGTCTGTGATGCCCACTTGGAATATGGCCTGTTGACCCTCATATCTTCTGCTCTGGGCCTCTGCTCAGTCTGTGTTGGGACTCTCCTCACTGAAATTGTCCTATTCCTCTGTGCTTCTGCTGCGGAGGTGTGGTGGAAATGAGCTACTTTGCCGTGGTGAGGAGGCAGAGGATGGAATAACCTTAAGGAGGAGATTCAAGTCTGGGTGCCAGCTCCTGATTCAGGAGGAAACTAGGCAGCCAGTAGCCTTTTGCTCTGTTCTTTCAACCCACCTCATAGTCATTCCATTTTTTCTTTTTGTTGCTTAGGATAGGAAGGAAGGTAGCTAGAACAGATTAGAGAATCAAGTAAGAGAATCAGTCTGGGAGGTTGTTTTTAATATTTGCCAGTTGTCTGCTTTTTAAGAGATGTAAGCTTGGGGGTAGCATTTCAGTTTTAATGCCAGATTAGGGGGCTGGACAAGTTCTAGCTTCACTTTTCCTTTTTATTCCAATCTTCCAAAGTTGCCTAAAATAGCAGATTTTATAGAGGGATAAAATATGCATATTGAGGATATGGAAAAGGACACAGAGGGTAAGTGAAGCAGACATGCTGAAATATAGGATTCACTGTCTGTGACTTTATGTTTCCAGGGGAGTCGTCTGGATGAACAAAGATGTTCCCTTCCAGCTCCTCTCAAGGTCAGGCTGAGTTGTTGTTGCCTCCTAAATTGCTGAGAATGGCTGATAATTACTGACCTGGCTTGCAGTGTACTTTCATACTGGAATGAACAGGGAGTCTGCAAACATCCCAAAAACACATGCTTGCCTTTTTTCTTTTCTTTTTTTTTTCCTAGTTGCTCCACAAGAAAATGAAGAAACTATGAAGAATACAAGAAACTATGTAGCTGAAATAGAACTCAGTTTTCCCTTTTTCTAATATAAGTGGCTCCAATAAGAGTTTATTGTTATTAAAAGTGTTAGTTTTGACTAAGTAATTTCTTAAATGTATTCAATTTAAGAGCTGTAATAATATTTATGAAACTACATAGTATTTATTTCAGTATTCTGCTTGATGACTCAGAGATGCTACTAGAAAGTTGATCTGTTTTGCCAATATTAAGGCAGTAAGAACAGATTCCTATCTTTAAATCCTCAAGCTGAGGATTAAACTCCACTTCTTCAGTCTCAGCTCAGGCCTATTAACCTTAAAATCAAACCTGACCGTGACTTTTATCTTGGGATGACCTGTAAAATAGCCACATGGAGAATTGATACAGCTTTACTCTGACAGAGATAGTCAGTGCTCTTTGTGGCGATGGAGGGGGCATCCAGCTGGCATAAATTGGCTCAGTTACTGCTTCTGTTCTCTGAGTCACACCTCAGCATTGCTCAGATGCATGCCACAAAGCAGCCACGGAGATGACACAGCCTCAATCTGACTGTAAATTACAGCACTTTTTCTACCATTCCTACTGTCATCCCTGTCAGCAGAAGGACAGCAGCTCTCTAACACTGTATGGAAGGAAAGGAGAGAGGCTGCCACTCCTAACCACATCAAATTTGCCTATAGTTTGGCTACTTCCTCATTTTGCATGCCTGTATTCCCTGTAGTTTGGAGGAGGAGGGTGGGTAGAATCTGACTCCTAAGTTTATTGTTCACAGAGTTCTTTATTATAATGCTGAGACCTTGGAAATGGAGTCTAACCTTAAGTCCTGAAGTAAAACTCTAAGGATGACCTAGGGCAGAGTAGAAGCTGAGGGCACAGTTTGCACAGTCGTGAGAGCAAAACACCTTTAAAGATGTCACATATTTTTGCTAATGGCCTGTTCTGATTTCAGACAGAAGAGGAGTATATTCCTTATCCCAGCATCCATGAGGTGAGTTAGTACTGCTCTCTCCTCTCTCTGTTTGTCCTTGGACTTCACTGGTTTTTCAGCTTATTAGCTTTCCAGTTTTCATACCCATCAGCTTTAATGCTTTCTGTCCTTCTGAAAAATCCAGGTATTACAGAAAGGGTGGCCATATCCTCTCATTATCCTACCCCAGTTTGGGGGCTACTGGATTGAAGGGACCAGCCACAACCTCTCCAGCTTGAGTCCAACTCTGTCTGATGTACCCTTTTCCTGGAGTGGTAAAGTGAAACTCGAAAGTGACCCTACTGCCAAGCTGTACCGCAAACATTTTCTGGGAAAGGTAAGGGTGACCTTCAGAGCCTTCTTTGCCCACCCAGCCACAAGGCTGAAATGTTTCTCAGGCTTTTTCTGGTGGATTTAAAAATGTCTGCACTGCTGCTGCATTTCAGTTCCTTATGATGCCTTGAACTGATGTAAATGAGGTACATACTAAGATACGGTCTGTAGTGTTTCCAATTGGTTGTGTCCCCATGTGAAATGTGCATCATCCTCTGAATTAATAGAAAGATTTGCATGGGAAATGCTTTTATTTAGTTAAGAAGGTCTTTTGAGTCTCCTATACAGATACCAACCTTGGGATAACAAGTGGACAAAAGTGTAATAGTATTGGAAGTGGAAATGGCATTATTTTTAGAGGGGACTTCAGCACTGACAGTGCAAGCTCCTCAGTAGGAAGCAGAACAGTCTATTTCCCTCAGTGCATGGTCATTACAGAATGTATGTGATGAAATCACACCATGTGTTTTATAGTTGTTGATATAAGTGAGTTTGGTGCTGAATGTTCCATGACTTTAAAAATTTCAGTTTGACACAAAGGGAAACAGAGCAAGGCCTCATAAAGTGAATGTTTGCTGGCCAATCACTAAGGTCCATCTGGGTGGGCCTGTTTAGGGAATTGGCTGATTACCAGACTGAATCTCAGGATGATATTAGCCATAAAGAACAAGTGTGAAAAACCCATGATGTTTTTTTGAGATTTGGTTCATGGCATCAGGAGATAAGAAAGCTTGACAAGTATGCTCACACTGCATCTTATTCAGTGATCTCCCTCAGCAACTGCTGAATAAGTGCAAAGCCAGGAATAGGTGGTGCTTTGCACAGTGCTGGGGACCTGTTCTGCAGTAGTTATTCTTGTCAGAGTGATCTTCTGTAGTGAATCTTGTTCCACAACAGTGGAAGATTATGTATTAATATGATTTATAAATAATTAGGGAAAAAAAGAAAGCCTTCCTGGAGGCTTCCCCACAAGACTACAGATCTGCTGTGCAATCTGTTAATGGACATTTATCCTGTAACCTTCTGGAAGCTTTCAGTATGCCAACTGTAATTATTTTTCTGTCATGGTAAATATAGGGTTGTGCTTGAAGGCTTCCAGAGCCAGACAGGACAAGAGGCAAATTTGGATATGATTTTTTCAGTCCAATTGTAGGATTCACTGCTGACCTGATATTACAAAACAGTTGAGGTTGGAAGGGGCTTCTGGGCTTATCTTGTCCAGACTCCTGCTCAAGTGAGGCCATATCATGATTGTTCCTTCCAAGTGAGATCCAGGACTTCCTCTGTTGTGGAGCTTTGCCTTTGCAAAGTGCCCGACTGCTAGTGCCTCTGTACTACAGAAAAACTCTCTCCTATATTCTTCCTTTTCTGGTGTCCAGTGTTTTATTCTTTGCCCTAGCTGACACGAATGTGTGTCCATGTTCAGTTAGACATGCAAGTTTTTGAGCAAGCTAGTGTCAGAAAAGATCAAGGTGAACAGGAGTCTTGTGCCACTGAAAACTCTACCCATGGCTAGAAAACTTCCTCCATGGTTTAAAAACTTAGTTATGGAGAGAGCTCAGAGCTTTTCCACTAGAAGAGTATTTCTTCAGTGCACAGTTAGCAGTGGTTTTGATGCTATGTTGGATCTTTTTCTTGTTGGTAACATGGGAAGGTTATTTCAACAATGTCAGGAAAGGTCTCTTTCATGCTTTGAATAACAGCAAACAGTTCTTAGCTGAAGAAGAGTCTGAAAGCATCACATGATGGGAGAGGCATAGCCAGTGGTTTAGGTAATATCCTTTAAGCAAGACAGGAGATCAAAGTATTGTGTGGTACTACAAACTTAATGTGCATGTCTGTGTTGTGGATGTGTGTATGTAGATTGCTCAAACTTGAACAATTCCGTGATACTTTTTACAGACTATATTACAGCAGACCCTATAAAACAACGACCAAAAAAAGTGCTAGAACATTCAGGCCATAGCTCAGTTCCTTTTCCTTGCCTCATGATCTGTATTTTATATGACAATTACACAGTAAGATTTATTTACCATTTAGGATAAAGGCTGTAAAATCTTATGTCTTATACTGCGGGAATAATTTGATGTCTGTGTTGTTTTTCAAGGCTGTAATAAAGAGAAATAGCCTGAAGCCAGGAAGGATTTAATAAAGGTGTGCATTGTAACTGCCAGTCAAATAAACTTAGGGTCCAGTTTCTCAAGCACTTGAAGCTCTCAGTGCTGAGGGAGGAGCTTTCTTGCTATGCATTCATATGTAATCATGTATTTCTCCTTTATGCTGTTCTTTCTTTGTGCTGGTTAAAGTTGCTGCAGATGGCAGATGTCTTAGTAGCTTTATAACTTATGCAAACTGTCAGCATTCCTTGTGTTTTCTGTTAGTCTTTTCTCTTGGCCCATGGAAGATACTTAATTGTTTTTAGAGAGATCTATTTGAAATCCAGAACTACCTTTCAGACTATGTTAAATGTTACAGAAACTGCTTCTGTGGCTGAACAAATTTGTACTTAATACATAGGTCATCTTAGCTCCAGGGTATCTTGTCATCCCTGACTTGCTATCTTCAGTATCCACTGCCAAGCCTTTTGATGGTTCATCTCTAACTTGAGGACAGCTAACAATAAAGGCTGCTGTCCACTGAAGGAATATGAGTCTGATGTATGTTGCCTATGTGTTGTTACAGAGAAAGAAAATCCTAAGGAGTAAATTATAGGTTTATTCAAATACACGATTGCTCAGATCTCAGTTTAAACCTCAGATCCTGGTTCAGGATCAAGCTACATAGCCAGAGTGGCTTTTGCAAAAATTCATTTGTTTTAAGATCTCCACTAATTCTAGTACCCATTCCCCTGTGAGGACTGCACCCATTTGTGCAGCTCTGCCTAGCTATGTCAGCTGCAGAACTGATGGCCCAATCTCCAAAGCAATTGAGATCCCCCTCTATCAGACCTGCTGGGGTCTGACTTAGAAGTCTCATCAAAAGGCATCTTAATTCCTGGTTACTTTTAGCCACAGCTAGCCTCAGGCTTTAGCTCTTCTTCCTTGCTTTGCCTTCTAGGTCTGATTTTTGTTGGCATTATGCCATCTTTTTCCTTAACAGGCTGTCTTGGCCATCCAGCCTGGCTTTGACTTCTTTGGTGTAAGGATTTTGATTCTAGACTTCAACTGACCATGGAACATGGTCTTGATTTGGTCCTTGAATCTGTCTGTTCCTCAACTACTCTGTCTTTCTGCCCTTGGTCACAGTGACTTACTGCACCTGATTCTTGTTCACATCCCAAAAATCCATTAGTATCCTGAAACTCATGGTCAGGAAAAATTAACTGTCCTTTGTTTCTTCCTTTGATTTCAGCTTTTTTTTTCCCATGTACTGTCACTGACCAGTGTGGCAGATCACACTGGACTTCTGTGATTTGAACACTGCAGCTAGAGGCCATATTAATCTGTTTGCTTCTTAGACCTTGCCTTTTTCAGACTGCCTTGTTTGATCAGCCATGGAACCTTTTGCCCAGTATCAGGGCAGTTCTGGGTGTTGGGTGTTTTCTGTCTCAAAGAGGAGGTGAGGACAATAACATCTTTAATACTTTAAAAAGTTAGATAGCTACATTGCCACATTTTGTTTTAGGGTAGTGACTGTAGTCTTACTTATTCCTGTTTTTTGTTTCAAAGAGAGGATTGGTTTATGTCTGATAACTTCAATTTGGCTGTGTCCACACAGATATCAGAGTATTTCACTAGATGTATCTTTATTTCTGACACTGAGTCAGAACTATGACTTATACGAAAAAGTCATACAAACTATGACTTTTCCTTTTAGATGGCAAAAGACAATCTTACCAGTATTTTGAGAGAGGTTTGAATCCATCACAGCCAGAGCAGACCTCCTAGGCATACTCCTAGGCATGTATATATTCTAAATATTCTAGGCAAAAGAGTGAGGAAGGAACTGACAGATTAGCAACCATTTTTTATCAAATTACACTTTGCTCCCACTGAGTTCTTCACTAATTTATTGTGCCTGGAGTATTCCTTTCATGGAACATATTCCAAATCATGCAAGTTTTGACTGTACAGCTGAATACAATTCACTGTCCCACTTCAGTGTCATGCATGAGGATGCTTTTCCACTAGGATGATGGAAGTGATCAAGGCATTTCTGCATAATTTCACCTTAATGTAATTTTCATTATGATGGAGGTTTCTATTCACATCCTGTGTCAAAAGGCTTTAACCTCTTGAGGTTAGAGATTATATAGCAATATGTATGATATAGCAATATACAAAATATACATTGCTATACCTAGGCCACTGGAGCATGGCTGTATACCCAGGAGAAATGTATGGCCACAGACACTTACAAATAGAGACTGTGAAAATGTTTGCAGTATCTTTCATTGTTTGACTGCATGACTGTTCCAGGCATGCTCCACTAAAGCTCAGGCAGTGTTAGTGGCACTGCTGAGACCAGTCTTCATCTGCAAAACCTCTTTACTTGCTGACTTTATCCTTCCTGACATGTGAGCACTCTTGGATTTCAGCCATTCACCATAATCCTGCCATTGCTCTTTAGATAGAGAATTTCCACAACCGCATCCAGTTGAATGTCTGGAAGACACAGCTTAGTCAAGCAGAACCTGAATGGATGCAGGGAAAGTCCATGAAAGATGCAATTTTGTTTACAAGAAACTCAATTTCTTCAAAACTTGTTGCAGAATGTTGTAACACTATTCCTTCTCAGGAGCCCTTGTGATGTTGGACAGGTGAGGAGGAACTGAACTGACTGGATGCACTTTGACTGATATACTCGTGCACTGATGATCAAGTGGGCTGGAAGAAAACATACACACATCTGGAAGCATGCTACTCCTGTTGAATTAAAAATATTTCCTATTGAATTAAAAATTAAAAAAAATTCCTATTGAATTAAAAATTAGCTAATCTTGAGTGACAGCTAGTGTGCAAAAAAAAAACAACTTGGAAAGCTTCTCCGGGAAGTGTGTTGGGGATAATGCATTCTGGTTTCCTGTTTGCAGGAGCACCAGAACTTTTACTCCAGTGACATGTCCTTGGGCTACCTAGTACTTTCTGTGAAGTATGAACAGATTGAGAAACAGGAAAATCTCCGCCTGTTGCTGAGGTAACGGTGCCTGTTATTGAAGTGTATGCTGCTGTGCTGTGTCTCTTGTCTTACCTTGCACTCCCTCTGCATAGATGCAGGTATGAATTTCATGTCTTTCTTCTGGAGAGAAAAGAAACTGAAAAAAAACCTTTGAGCCTTTTTTTCTTGCCTTCTGCTCTTGAGTTGCTCTCAGCAGTTTCCTTGAAGAAGATGATGTGGTGCTTACAGGTGCATATTTGTAGTACCTGTGTGGAAAATACCTGCTCTTCCCTCAAATAGAAAGTTTTTCTGTTTATTCTGTCTGCTTAGAGACATGTGAGTACTCTCTAGGAGAATATGGATTCCTTAATGGAGGACAGCCTAGCCCAGGCTTTGTACTTGAGATTAAGGCTCCCTTGAAGGCGATCTAGAACATTCCCTAGATTCCCAGGGCAGTCTATGAAGCCATAACCCTTAGGGTTATGAAGAGAGATATTACCTAGAGAGAGCTGCCGGATGAGCTACAAGAAGAACAGAGAAGGATCTTGCATGGGTGAGAGGCCACTGCAGAGAAGCTTTTTACCTCACTATGGGCTGGATGCACTCCCTGTAGGCAATGCTACTGGAGCCAGGTGATGTACAGTTGCCACTAACAAGGATTTGTCCAGGACTGAGGGGGAAAAATGATTGCATAGGAATCAGCTACAAGAAAATCACTGGAGGGTTTTCTCCAGTGTCTGCAGAGAATGCTTCAGACTGCCAGCATAATCTAGGAATAAAGAGAGAGCCTGTTTGTGAGCTGTGCCTGGGAATGTTTATCTTCCTATGTGGAAGAGACCAGGGAAGAACAAAAGGGGAGTTATTCCTCTATTAAGATATTTTATTCTATGCAGTACTTTTTGCTCAATAGCTTGTTTATAATGCTTTTAAGAGGCTTTTGACAGCACAATATTTCTTCTTCCTTAGAAAGATATTTCTTCTTAAATACACGTACAAAGAGGAATGTAGTTTTCCTCTGTCAGCTTTCTGGAACAATGCTACACCAGTTTCTACCTCCTTTACTTTTCATAGATATGCTTTCCTAGGCTGTTTCTAACAGACTTTTTAACAATCTTCCAAGCCCTCTGAAAGGGCTGATCATGGGAATCCCTTATTATTCTGTGCCCATTAATTGAATTTTGACATTTAGATTTCTATGAAAGAGAACCTGTGGGGGGGGGGGAAGCAGAATACTTCTTCAAGGCAGACTGGAGTGCAAAGGAGGAAAGACACCAAGGAATCCTGTTTTGTCTTCCTCTGGTCACCACAACAAGTGATGGGTAGTAAGAAGTGAAAATACCTCGCTTTTCCAGTGATTCTATGCACCACAGTTAACATTAAGCCTCTGGAATTAACTGCTTTAACAATACTGTGAAGGACTGGCTACTCTTTCTTTAAAGATCCAGTGTTGCTTGTGTCTCCCTTCAGCCATCAGTCTCTAATGCCTTTTTTGTTCTATGTCAGGACTCGTACTGGCACCAAACATGATCTTATTCCCATTTCCTGTCTGAATGAGTTTCCCAATGCTGTTCAGATGGCAAAGGTGAGATTCATGCTTGCCTATTTTTCTTAAGGCCTCATTCTTCAAGTCATTTTCACCTCTGTCCTTCCATTTCTCTCTTTTTCTACTATTCACCTGTAGAACTGTTATATAGTTCCCTTTTACCCTTCTATTTTGCCTTCTTTTTTTTCTCTTCTAATTTTACGTCAAAATTTTTGCTTGAAGAGGCTCCTGTCAGATAATTATATACAGTGCCTACACTGTCATGCCTGCAACAAGCCAGGGCACATGATAATCACACTTCTGTTTCCCTGTCTCTCTCACTCAACAGCTACTGTGTGAGGATGTGAATGTTGAACGTTTCTTTCCTGTCCTCTATCCCAAGGTACAGTGTTCTGATATGCCTGTATATCACTTTTCCATCAAGGTCTGGCTGATGACATCCAGGTGACAATTTCTGTTTTCATTACCTCAGGCTTCGCAGCTTATTGTTGCATTTGATGAACACGTCATAAGCAATAACTTCAAATTTGGGGTCATCTACCAAAAACCTGGACAGGTAAGACCCATCGGATCCCATGGTACTTGGGGCAAAATGAAAAGAGTCAGTTTTCCTAGCTTAAAGGATGTAATAGCAAGGTCTACACTGTCCAGAAGCAATGGCATGGAGGCAGCAGTGTTTGTGCAGTGCTGTGGTTCCCTTGGCATGCCTGTTCCACCTGCAGTGTCTCTGGCAGTACAGGCTTTGTGAATCTCTGAATCCTAACTCTAACCCTCCTGGCAGCTTGGGGCTGAGGCACAGGACCCCAGCACTATGGGGGACTCAGATCAGAAATGTATTCAAGCGGAGATGTTTGTTGATTGAACTGTCTATAGAAATGACTGCCTGTTCTTCGTACTCCTCGTGCTTCTTACTACTTCTGCTTTCCTTCTGTAGACAACTGAAGAAGAAGTCTTCAGTAACACAGTAGAGAGTCAGGGTTTCCTGGAATTCCTGGATTTCCTTGGTGACAAGATTCAGCTGCAGGATTTCCGTGGGTGCGTACACAGGGAAGCTGGAAAGCCGGATTAAGTTAGGGAACATCATGTGTTCAGGGTCTGTGACTCTGTTACAGCTCAGCTTCCAGAGAAGTGCTGTGTCTTCTGAATCCCAGTGCAGGCGAAGAAGCCCCAGATGCTTTTGTCAGCCATCATGTCTGGGAACTAGTTGGAGCTTAGGTCTCTGCTGGTATTTTTATTTAAAGGTCTCCTGCTATCTCAATCTGACCCACAGCATCAGCAAAGAATAATTTTACTTGGCAGTGCAAATACAAGTTTGTTTCATAGTGGTATGGGGCAGTATTGTTTCAGGCTCTTTCTGTGAGGCATCCCATCCCTTCTGTAGTTCTAACATACAGAGTGTGTTTCTCAGAGGAATGCCAAAGAAGGTAGCTACTTTGAGGATCCCTGGTTTAACTTCATGGCTTTTAACAACCTGGTATGTTCACCAGCACAAACATGGTGCAGCTTCAGTCATCGCATTGGTTTGGGGAAGACTTGGTGCCTCACTATCATTGATTTCCTAAAAATCACCTTTGATAGTCCTGATGTAGTACTGTTACTGATACTGTCTGTCTTCTCTCTGCTCTCTCATTCCTGCACTGCCTGACCTGTGGCGTGGTGTGGATTTGCTCAGGTTCCGGGGAGGCTTGGATGTTACCAGAGGTCAAACAGGCACCGAGTCAGTCTATACAAATTTCCGGGGGAAGGAGATCATGTTTCACGTGTCCACAAAGCTGCCCTTCACAGAGGGAGATTCCCAGCAGGTATCAGAAGGAGGAGTAAGGATTACAACAGCATGGCTGGGAGAGGAGGGCTATTTGAGGAAGGACTGCATAGAGGGGAGAATGACTGACTGTATAATGTTGGGAATTATGGCTGGAGTAATGGCAAAAGTAGTGATGAGGGGTTTGGTGAACAGATGGTTTTGAGATATTAGGCAGACTGGTATTTGAGGTCCCATCATACTGTTCTACTCTTTTTCACCTGCCTTCTCTCTTCATTATTTCTTTCCTCTCCAGCTTCAGCGGAAGCGTCACATTGGGAATGATATTGTAGCCATCATTTTCCAGGATGAAAGCACACCTTTTGTCCCTGATATGATTGCTTCTAATTTCCTTCATGCTTATGTGGTAGTTCAGCTCACTCATAGCACCACTGGGGACACTCTCTACAAGGTAACCAGGATCAGTAGATTAGCCTGTACCGATTTTGGTCCTTGGTGTGGGAACAGGTTCTTTGGCCTTTGGGAGAGTTGCAGATTCAGCCAAATGTCATCCTGATTTCTTGAGTGTCTATACCTGAAAGCTGAGTTAAGTTGTATGCTTTTCTAAGTAGCTGATTAATTTCTGAAGCTTAAAGCTTTGGAATTGAAGCAGAGAGAATTCAGGTAAAAAATTTTGTTTACATCGCAGAGCACAAGCCACAGTTGATCAGACTTTGGAGGTTGTCTCGCTTACATTGCATAAGTCAGGTAAAATTCATGTTTGCATTGCCTGTGCTGCACAGCACAGTTCTTGCAACTTGCACTGCCTGAGGCTGCAGGTCAGATACAGCTGGTTAACCTGACTATGGAATCCAAGCCAGCTACACCTGCTTTTGGGGATTCCAGAGCTGATGCCCATCTGGCAGGGGTGTGTTACCTGTTAGGGCCTTCCAGCTGAAAGAAGCCCTGCTAGAGCCCAGATTAATTATCTGCAGCCTTTGGACACAGCTTGTTTCTCTCTCTGACATGACTCTGTATGGATAGCTGTATAACTTTATGTTCAACTTTCAGTTATGCTGAGAGAGCAGAAAATATAAAAAAACCCTTGGATTTGTGATGGATTTTCAATTGTAGAAACATTTTAATCCAAGTGCCATGTGTTGTATTATGTGGGGATCTTGATATGGTGATGATAAATCCATATGCCTTGGAGGGCCATAGAACACCAAGAATATCAAAATTAGGACAGTATCCCCATCTCCTATTCCACCAAGAGGGTATTGGTGGTGGAGCTGCCACCTTCCCTTGTTCCCTGTGCTTTGGGCAGCAAGGCTTTCATTACAAACCAGCTGGGGTTCCAGTCCTCCTCTTGCTCTCTGTTTTGTAGGGCACAAAAATTCATTGGACTTTTTAATGACAAGGAAAGAGCTGGGAAAACTTGCTATTTGTTGTGTGTCTTCCTGCCATTGTTTTCATCTTTGCCTGTCTGCAGTACTTTTTTTTTATTTGTTGTTGTTAGTGTAATAGGGCTGCTTCATTCCATAAAGAAGAAATCTTCCCAATAATCACCCTAGAGCCAATGCAGAGTTTTCTGTAAAGGCTTTTCTAAAGGGGCTTTAACTGATGCTGCCTTGAGAACATTGTAGTACACAAAAGACTGCCATTTGAAAGATTTCTTTGCCATCCCTTGTTCCATTTACTTAAGCTTTAGTGCATCCTGTTAAATTGGAGTATTAATGGAATTTATTTCACAGAATCAATTTTTGCAATCAGAAAACTAAAAGTGCAAAGCGGGATTTTAACTGGTAGATATCTATTAGGAGAGAGATGGAGGCTTTATAATTAGGGGAGGTGGCCTAAAATGTGAGAAGTCTTAATTAAATCCAGAGCCCATTTCCTTCTTCCTCTCAATAAACTCACACCTCTGAGTGGCTCTGTGACATTTATTTGTTGTTTTGACTCAGTTGTGGTTGTTATGGCATTGTTCCCTCTTGTATGAAAGGACAAATAATGCTCTTGTTTCATCTCAAACATGACAAAAAAAACCCTGTGAAATATTGTGAAGTACTGTATGTATTTGGTAAGATAGCTACATATAATTATGGGTAGGTGCTGTGAAGAAACAAGTGACCATGTAAAAACTGGACTGCATTACAGTTACTTCTTTAGACATTGGTATGTCAGGTGGGAGCATGCTAAAAATAAAACAAATGAAATCTATCTCTTACTGGGAAAATGCATTTGCATGTTTACCACCTGTGACTCCCAGAGGCAGTGGCACTGAGATACTCCCCTCAGGGTGCAGTGTATCTCCACCAAGGATTCTCTGTAAAAAAAAATAGGTCAGTACAACCACACTGACTATGGAATATTAATCCCAATATTTCTGGGGGGGGACGTCCCTGGCCTCGTCTGGCCCTTGCTGCGGGACCAAAGGCGGCAGCTGTGGCGTTTTTCACCCCAGAGATACCTTTGGCCGGCTGGGTGCTGCAGCTGGGCACTCAGAACAAATCCAGGCAAAGCAGGATCTCAGTTTACCTCTGGTGGAAAAGGTTCAGGCGACGGTGAAGAGAAACAGGATTCTATCGAAGAGTTTTAATCCAGAGTTTTATTCCAGGATGACAGACCTCTGAATGTTGTAACAGCTCCCAACAGAATCCAGACCGCATGGTCCCATCTCCTTTTAAGCCTGGGGACAGGGGGAGGGAAGGGACAGGTGAGGGCCAACCAGGTGTGAGGAGGGGAAGGCTCAAGGGATACAGACACTTGGACAGGCCAATGAGCCCGGACCTAAGGGGCATCTTTTGGACTTCTGCCAACCACACCACGAACCTGCTGGAATGTTATGATTGATGGACAGATCTCAGCAGGAGGGCAAAGGGGGAGGGGAAAGGAGAGGTTGGCACACCTGGGGTGTTGGGATAGGTGAAACAGGGAATGGCATCGCACTGCAACAACTGACAAAGGTTCTTTAGTGGAGGTTAATCTTGTGGGCTGAATCGGAGCATTTTTTTGTTCCTAAATATACTGGTTATACTAGTTATTATTTAAAATATTTTTTAAATAGCAGTTCAGCTTTTTTTACTGCTCTTTACTTTGTGCACATCTAGCTGGCTGAGTTTCTGAGAGATAAATGAGCACATCCTTCCACTGAGTTCAGGAACAGAAGGATGCACAGGACACTATATTACATTCCTTTTTTATAAGTAAATTACTTAGGAGGAATCAGATCTATCATAGTAGTTTGATGGTCTCACTTGTATTCTGATACTCATTTTTTCCCCCTTATAATATTTCAGGTTTCAGTCACAGCCCGAGATGATGTCCCCTTCTTTGGACCACCGCTGCCAAATCCAGCCATATTTAAAAAGGTTTGTTTCTGTGGTCCAGTGTTAGTTGGCAGGGAACACACACTTGTGTTCTGAGTTGGTATTGTCAGTCTGGCTAGAGCACTTCGGAGGTCCAAAGAGTAGTAAGCAGAGCTTTTATAATCTGATATTTTTACTAGTGTTTTCATCTCCAGTTTAGTCTAGTCTTCATCTTGTCTTGTAGAGTGCAGAGTTTCGTGAATTCCTTCTGGTCAAGCTCATCAACGCCGAGTACAGCTGCTATCGAGCTGAGAAATTTGCTAAATTAGAGGTGGGTCTTTTACCTACCTGCTTCAATTAAAAATAATACTTATTATCAGAAAAAGAAAATAAAGTAAAATTTCTGACTTCTGGTTTTGTGTTGCTTAAGAAAGGAAGATGAAGTGTGATGTTATACTCAGCTATGGGATATTTCCTTCATATTTCTTAGCAGGTGTGATAGAATATGAACGGGCACACTTTAATATAAAGATCTAATCCTCAAGTAAGGATGGGAATATGATGCACATATTTTGCGGGAGGAAATTCTGTATTAGCTGAAATTCAGTATTATGCGACAGGATGCATGCTGATATCACTGCTTTTTGGTTTAAGGTACCAAAATTCTGTTCCAGACTCTGCTGTTGCCTGATCTAGAAAAAAACATGTCTCTATTTCATCAGCTGTAAAGAAGTGTCCTTTATGATTTGCTTTAGACAGAGCTTGAAGGGTCTGGGTGTTAGTGCAATATATTCTGTAACTATGCAGTTAAAACCACTTGATACTCTTTAAAGTGATTTTCATGGGGTTTTGTTGTTGTCATTGTTGGTGTTTTGGGGTTTTTTGTTTGCTTCTTGGGATTTTTTTTTAAGAAGGATGGGAGACATTGAAAAAACAGGAAAAAAAATCTCTCAGCTCTCAATAAAAGCTGTTCTGATTCCCAATGTTGATGCAGGAAAGAACACGGAGTGCCCTTTTGGAGAGCCTTTTTGAGGAGCTGCAGCTTCGCAGCCGCAGCATGATGGGATTGCCTGTAGGGGAGGATGACAAGATAGAGAATGGCAGTGGGGGCTTCCTCGAGAACTTTAAGGTGAGCCTTTCTACAAACCTACAGTGTGGTCTAGAATTCCACACTGGCCCTTAGAAGCCAAACTCTTAATGCTTTGTGCTGGTGTCAAGTGTCAGATGTGATTTTATTCCATGACTTACAGAAGAAGGAGTCAGTGTTTGAAAGAGGAATTGTAATAACTAGGAGCAAGGGGCTTTCCGTTCCTACAGCAGATCTCTTTCAATTCATTTTCATTATAACTGAAAGAATTGCAGGAGTCACTGCAAAAGTTTCTAACTTATCTCTGAGTGTACTGTCTAGAAAAACTGTGTTGCTTTCCTTACCCTCTAAAAGCCAGAGTTAATTTACCTTTTTCAATGTAGATGGCCTGTTAGGGGGTTTTTATTGTTGATTTTTTTAAAATAAACCAGGTGAGAGAACTTTCTTTTAGAAGTGATAAAGATAATTGATGTGAGAAAGCAAAGGTTTTGTATGAATGGGAAAACTGAGTTTTGAACTGGTCATACAGAGAGAATCTTTATTGCTTTCCTATTTTATCTACTTGCCCTTTCCCACTTAACGTGGGAAGTGCCTTGCCACCTCTTTTATATAATAAGTTATCTCTCTGGAAAGAGAGATGTGTTACAAATAGCATTTCTTCAGATGACTTTATGGCTTTATATGGTGGGTAAATTAGAGTTATTAAAGTCTGTAAAACTAACCTGTTCACAAATAGGTTTGGTAGCTGTGTGCGTAGCTTTGGTCCGGATTATATGGATGCTTTGGTGAGGATTATTTTTTTACATACAAACTGCCTTTGCTGCTAACCATTAATTTTAACCCATCCATGTCTTACACTAATTTTTCCCAAAATGTCCTTTTATGACTTCTGGCACATGCTGGGATTTGCACATCATGTACACAGATGACATTTGTAAATGGCTGGAAAAGGCTGAGTTAAGTCAGAAAATGGCTTTTTTAAATGCTGCAGATTTTGATATGGCTGCTTTCCCATTGAAACCAGAACTGAAGTTCATATGAGACTGAACCTTACAGCCTTGAACAGGAGTTTGACTTTGTGTTTTAAAGCCTGTACTGGATAGGACTGCTCCGGGTGATGCTGTTTAATCCAGTGTGCAGGGATACTGGTAGGAAACCTCTATTCATTGCAATAGGAGAAGTGAAACTAGAGAATATACTTGATGAAGAGTTCTTCACAGAACTCCATGAATCAGCTAGGATCAGTCTAAGGTGCTGCCTTCTAGGAGCTAGGATCTGTGTGGTTCTGGTGTCAGTCTGTCACAACTTCCCACTCAATCTGTGGTGCTTCTCACACTACCCTACCGTGTGCATGTCTATATGTGTATATCTGTGTTTGTCTGTTTCCCTGCCTCCCTCCTGTTCAGCGGGTGATCAGAGGCCGCAGCCAGAGCCTGGATACCATGGGGATATCCATGAGAAAGCAGCAGCCAGCCACCCTGCCCAGCCGCCCAGCTACAGCTGGCCTTGCCCTCAGCCAGAGTGTCGCCGAGGGCCCTAAGGCCATTGCTGCGGTAAGGTATTCGGGTGGGCTGTAAGAGAGAACCCGGCATACCTTTGTAACCACCCATACATTTCCTTTCCCTATTAGTTTGTCCTCTTGTCCCACTGTGAATCTTTTTGCTGTATCATCCCATTTCACAAGTGGTGACAGCATGTGTTGCAGTCTGTTTTGTCTGTGCCCATCTTTAGCCCCAGTTCATGAGTAAACTAGAGCTGAGATTGATGCAGACTGGGAGAAGAAAGCCAAACATGATTCTGCATCAGACATCCATCTCTGATATCCTGGATTAGATCCTGTATGGTGCCATGTGTTAAAAAATGCATGCACTGTGGTTTGGCTGGAATGATACTGTATTGTCATATGGCAAGACCTGAGAACATAAGGACCCTAGAACGGTTTAATTTTCTTTGATTTCACCAATCAGACTATTTTCTGTAATATAAACAGGCGCACAAGATATTCAAGGTGCTGTTTTGCTGTAAATAGAATTTGTATGTTGGGAACAAACAACAGAATTAATAAAGTTTGGGGTGAGAAGAAGAATGAATATTTCTAGTCACTATCAAAGCCTTTCTTACTTGATAGGGATACTAAATATATGTGACCAATGAATTAAAAATCTATCACAAACCTTTCTAGAAAAGGATCCATCAGTTTCTGATACTGAAAATATGGTTACCTTGGCCAAAATGCATCCAGCTGGTTGTGGTCTCTGCACTAGTGATGTCAATACAGGCAAACTACAAAAACCCACCCATCTCTGAGTAAGCCAAGAAGGTGTCCTTCAGTGTGAAGATTTCTTGGTGACAGTTTACTTGGTTGTATGCATTCTTTATGTCAATACAACAAAGTCATAGCATACTAATGACTTGGGTTTGCTGCCTCCTTTTCTCCTTTAACTTCTGGTTTCTTTGTCTTTCTGGTTCTGCCTCTCCTCTCACCGTATGGGGATACCTCCCTTCCCAAGCCTGTTTCTCTGTATACTGGCTGTGTTCTGCCTTTGTTTCTTTATAACTCTGTCCCTTTCTCACACCACCTTTGTGAGCCCTGGCTGCTCTTGCTCGCTGACAGAAAGTACTCCTTGCACAGGTGGAGCTGAGTCTTGTATTGCAGTAAAGGAGAGGATCTGGACCCATGTTGCAAACTCTTCTCCTATGCTTTCAGCTCCCCACAGCTTTTCCTGTCTTGTTCCTCTCTTTTCTGTCATGTTTTCCTTTTTTCTAGTCTTTTGCCTTGCCTGGTAGGAGCCCATCACGTACTCGAGCCAGCCGCTTCCACGGGCGACGGAGTAGTGCCATTGGCATTGAAAACATACAGGAGGAGAAGAGGTATGAGCTGTGGGGAGATGAGACAAAGAGGGTAAAAAAACCAAGAGGAGATGAGAAAAGGAACATAGGCACATATAGGTAGAGGGGGAACCATCAGGAATGAGAACTAAAATGTAAATTGTTGGAATGGGAAGAAAAGAGTCTGATTATTGACTGATGGAGACATGGACAAATAACAGAAACAGACAAAATTAAAAGAGGGTGTTTGGAATTGGAGATATTCAGTATTTGAGTAAGAATGGAGGAAATGGGTGGAGGAACATTATAAGATCACTCTTAAATATTGTGCAGTACTATCCAGGACTCTTGAGTTTCCTGCTCTTCACTGACCACTTTTAGAAGCAAGTCAGATGAAAGGCTAGTGTTTGGGAAGGGGATGCTTGATTGTTTATTTGTTTTAATGTTAAAATATTCAAATAGGCAAAACTGGTAACTTACAGGATTTATGAAAAAAAAAGCTTTAAGAACAAATGACTAGTGTTTGAGTTAGATCAGCTGAGAAATAATTATAATTTATGAATAATATACTGCTTCAAGGAGTGATTTGGCATATTTGACAGAATTATAACCATTCAAAAGGTGTCTACTGGTCACGAGAGATTATTTAGTTAAATTATACATTTCTCTCAGCTCTAGCTGAGACATCTTTTTAAGATTGTATACAGAGTCTCAAAAGTCACATGAATGCTCTGGATCTAATATGCAGTTTTCCCAGTTGCAAGAATTCCAGGAAACAGCTTAAAGACTGGGTGCAAAAGGGGAAAAGTCACCTCTAAATTGGAAACTAGTTATTTTAGGAGGAAATTACTGCATTTTCCCTTCTTAATGAGGTGCCTATGACCTAATCCAAATAAAAATAGAACTTTTGAGAAAAATCTTCAGAGACAACTGCCCTGTAGTAGTCTAAGCTATCACAGTAGCCATAGCTTCTTACTACTTTAAATACTTTTGTACCTTAGGCAGCTGTGTCCTTCAGTCCATTACTCTGTCTACAACATCTGTTTCCGTCCCCTTGAAGGATCTCTAAAACTTTCCTACTACAGGGAAAACCCCTGGATTTATTTTCTTTTTTTTTCCCCTGCTCTTTGCTTGGAGCGATCTGATGAACTAATTGGCTTATTTAGCTTTCCTTTTGTTTACTTAGATGTGAGGAACAGGGAGCCTTAGTTTGTATTTTCTGAAAGACTTTTTGGGTCATTCTTGAAGGTGCAGTTTCACTAGCAACTGCTCTAACAGTTCATTGTTATTGAAAGCAGATGTGATACTTCCCCTCTGTCCCTTTCATCTACCCAATCCTGACTATTCCTTGTGATGATTGCTCAGATCCCCAGTGGGCCTTTCATGGAACTGATTCAGCCCAGTAATCAAATAGAAAAAGTATCAACTTTCTTTCACTGGATTGTCTGCCAGGTTCTGCCATGAACTGGCTCGTGGAGGAGTCTGATGTGTACCAGGACTGGTGGAAAGTGCACTCAGCAAGAATGAAGGAGGCTGGAGCATGCTCTCTTTCTGGGAACAGTGAGCTCAAAGTGTCACCTGTGACTTCACCCTGAAGCTGTAATTTAACAATATGCAGGCTTTGCTGACAGACCTGACCCAGTCCATCCCCCTTGTTAGTTTGTTGTAGGAGTTTCAGGGTTGTTTTAATTTTAGAGTTACTTTTTGTCAGAGTAATTTCCAGTCTCACAAACAATTGTATTAGCATAAGTGAGGGTATCAGAAACTGTGATGTGTGGGGCACAGGTAGGGTCAACTGACCAAGAGAGCAGAGGAAGAACTTTGTGACAAACTCCATCACTGAAGCCCTAAGAAATCCCCCAAAATCCCTTCGTTTTCCTTTCTTTAATTAAATGTACCTCTCATTTCAGTTACTCACACAGACAACTTTCTTCAGTGGTATCTTGACAAGTCCTAGTAGCAATAACACTTTTGTAACCATCATCTTTATGCTCTCTATTAAATCCTATAGCTTCTTAAGACCAGTGGAATGGGGAGGATAGAGGAAAAAGTTAAAAAAATAAAGGTGACTACTAAAATTAATTCAGGCCTTTATATCAATTCAAAAGGAGCTTAAAGTTGGCCATTTCCAGATGTCACATGTGACGTCAAAGGAGTCTGCCCTTTTCAGCACAACTGTGTTTGCTTCCCTTTAACATGTATACAGGAGATACAGCTTTCTACTGTGTCTTGTAAAGGAGTGTTAGAGTAGATGGTAGTTAACTCTGGCCCTGGGGTATAGCTGGTTTCTCTTTTCTCCCAGCAGAGACACCACAGAGAGAATACAAAGGGTGTTGGACAGTCCAGGAACTTTCTTTGACCTGAAGTCTGATGGATCATCTAGTCCCAGCTCTCCAGAGTTCCCCAGCAGGAAGAGCAAGTGAGTTGAAAATAAGTTTTAGTATTTGAAAGATGCTCACTGTCTCTGGTTGGCTTAAGTGTGGTGCATGTCTTGCTCTGTTGAAGGCTTTACTGAAATTGTCCACATCAGGCATTGTAGCATCTCAAAAGTTGGATGTCTGGCTGTGGCACAGTGATTCAGAGCCTGTCAGGAACTTGGCTTTCTTAAACAGACCGTGATGAAAGATTGGACCACTTGATTTTGGTTATATCTTTACTGTAATGTAAGCTTGCATCCAACAGGATACACAAAATCCTAGCTGTCCAATTACCCATGTTTACTCATGTGTATGTTTCCTCTATAGTTTGCTCTGGAGTGATTTTGGAGCTTCATGGAGAAGCTTGGACAAGGGTATGTTGGGATGTTGGGTTGTACTCAAGTTCTGCCCCTTTAAGCAGGATTCATGCCGCTGCTCCCAACCAGCGTGAACTAACCTGTCTCCAGTCCCCCCAAAGTGTTACAGCAGGATTCCAGCACGGTCCCATGTGTTGCACCTATGTTTCATTGCTAAAGCACGCCATACCACACCCAGTGGTATGTGCAAAACACTTCATGCAGTAGTCTGCAAGTTAATTCTCCAGTTTCTGGTTGTCAAAAACTGGAAAAATGCAATTTCCTGGTAGTGGAGCTTTGCTGCTGCTAAGCTGTATTATACTGGGATGTGATCCTACCTAGAACACTTCAGGGAAACCATCCATTTACATTTCCAAGACCCCAGAACAGCCTGTCTTTAAATCAAAGGCTGCAGCTGACTTTCTGGAACATTTTACTACGCCTAATTTTTTTCAAGAGCTTGGATGAGACCTGTGGCAAGAAAGGTAGCAAGTACTTTGTATTAGGGTATTTCCCTTTCTCAGGACTGAGGAGATGCTTAAAAAATTTCAGGAAGTGCCCTAGGACCAGGCATCTATGGTTATAGTCGCTTCAGGTGCCAAATTTGACAAGGAAGGGCTGTCCTTCCAACTACACCCAATGCCCCCTAAGAATTACAAGCTGGTGACTATCTGCAGTAGTTCAGCTACCCAGTTGTGTGCTGTAGGACTGCTCAGAATTTTGTCACAGCCAAGGTGCAGTGTTCTAGTTTTTGTGTGTGTTCTAGTTTTTGGGTTGGATGAGTGCCCAGAATTTTGGTGCGGAGGAGGATGGGAGCACATCTAGGAGATACAGACCATTTAAGGTGCTAGCTCTGGCAGCTAAGGACTAGAGGGAATGCAGGACATGCTGATTTGTCAGCACCCCCCATCTTCCAGCATTACCAAATCATTCCACCTTCCCTTCCTCATCCTGCCTGGGGCCTTGTTAGTGAACTAGAAGTTCCTGACAGGCATGTGTGAGAGACTCTTGCTCTGATTAGATAGCAGATTACCTTGCATAATCACCAAGAATTCTGCTTCCCCCACTTCCCAACCCCCATTCTCCATCAGCTGAGGAGGTGAGCCAGCTGCAATGGCTGTTTCAAGTTGGTGTCCAGATGCTTTCAGAGAGCAAACATAGCATGGGATTTTACTAACAATACTTGCATGAATATTGTTTATGCACATTAGGCATGACCTGTATGATTTGTCAGTTTGTCTAGTTCTGTTCCCAGGATTCTTTTTCCAGTCATGGACTCAAAACCACTTAGGATCACCAGAAAAAAAGAAGTATTTTCATATCTGTGGTGGTTTAGCCCATTCCTGGACAGTTCATTTACAAGGTGGGATGCAGCATGGAGTTTTGCACAATCAGTGATTAGTCAGAGTTAGAGCTGTAATCTCAGAGTTAGGGACTAGCCCATGTGCAGCCATACTTTTTGCATGACATCGGGGACAGGGAATTAAGAACGTGTCATTCCACCATGTAAAGCACACCATTTTCAGCAAGACAGTATTAGCACAATATTGCAGGAGAAGGCTGGGAGTGTAAAGTCTGTCTTGGAGACAGTTTATTGGCATTCTGCTGAAATAGCCTACCTGGTGTTCATCAGCTGTGAAACCAGGATCAAGATGTAGGCATACTTCCAATGCAGAAGAGTTCTGCCTTGTTCTAGAATAATTTATGTAGTCCCTCTTAGATAACAGAATGGGCTATCCCTGGGAGTATGTCATCAGTCTATTCCTGGTTCTCTCCATAGAGTCACAAGAAATTTCTGTTATGTCAGAAATGTCCAGCATGATGCTACTGGTCTTACATAATAATTTCAGACTCTCAAAACTTTGAATGATCAACCTCTTCACCTGTGTTCTGCTAAGAGCAACCTGAAAATAAATGCAAAGGGAACACATAAGTAATAGATTAATTATTTTACAGTAGAGGCAGAGCACGCTGCTGAGTTTAACAGATGTTTATACAGTGATCAGCCAGCAATCCATGAAACTGCATTGTTGACTTGAGCTAACGGTGTCTTCTCTCCCACAATTGTCCTTAGTTTTTCTGCTTTACTGTCCAGGTAGCCTTCCAAATAATCCTTCTTCTCAAGGGACAGACTCAAAAGAATGAACCCAGCCTATGTAACCAAGTAGTAGAAGTCCTGAGGATCAGACGACTCTCTGGGTTGCATCTGAAAAATCAAGCACTGTACTGTGTATGTCCATATCCTAGGAAAAGTACATGGGTTTTTTGTATGTGTGTTTTCCCTCCTCAGACACATCTGAGTGGGGACATCAAGCCAATCAGGAGTGGACCGGATGCTACTCAGTCATTGGGTACCTCACTGAAGACACTGGCAAGACTTTTGGGGTGAAATCAGAGTCCTGGCTAAGAGGAGCATGAACGTACTTAGAGGACCTCAAGGACTGTGGAGAGACCGAGTGGCACCAAGTAACGCTCCACTGGCAGTTCCTGGAGCAGGAATTCTGTGAGAGGGAGATGGACAGATAGCTCCTGTTGGAGCATTTTGGCTCTGTGCCCTTCCCATTGCCAAATCAGCAGCCACTGAACCAACCTCTACTAGTGATGGGGAACGGAGGCCACCTTGAGTGCGACCCCTTCTCTTCCCTTCCTCTCCCCTCAGATGAGTGAGAATAGTTTGGCCTGCAGAATGCAAGAGCAGAAGAACATAACTCCACCTCTGTCTCTAGTGCCTTGACACAGGTCAAGAAATGCAGTGCAGAGAACAAAGATGGAGAAACCTGCTGAGGAAGGGTGCTGAGGAGGAGATATTTTGTGGAAATCTAGATCCCACTTCACTTAGATTCATGTTATTGATTTGCTCTGCTAAGGGAGAAGCATGTTGGCCTTCATTTCCTCCAAAATATATTTCCTAATCTCTTGAGGAAATATCTTCGGCCTTTATTGGCCCTGTCTTCACTGTTCTCCTTGTTGCATGCTGGCATGTAATATGCCTGGGACTTTAGGTTTCACAACTGCTTGTAGGTCAAGACTGGCCACATTTCGCAGTGTTTCTGAAGGAATAAATATATTTAGTATGTTAAAGGTGTCTTATCTTTCTTGCCTCTCTTAACTTTTTTTTTTTTTCCTTAACATTTTAAGCTCTTTGTCTCTCTCTTACTAGCTGTTTTTTTATGCAGACAATGAGTATTTCACCATAAATTTGGGGCTTACATGCACAGTGCACCTTCTGCTATGTAAGAGTGTCAGCCTCATGGCTTGCTGTATCTCCTGAATATCCTCCTAAGCAGTGGATCCCAAATTCTCAGCTGCGAAGAGCTGACCTTAAGGGTCTTTGATAGATCTGAAACATGCACCAGGCTACCTCAGTGTCTGTTCCATTTGATAGAGTGGTGGTAAAGGGATCCAATACAGTTTGCTTTGGATGTCCCCTTTGAATGGCCTTGTTGGGAGCTAAATTTTAGGGGGAGAGACCTACAGGAGTCAGTCTATTGGCAACTGGGCCCATGGAAAATCACCAGGATGGGAATCCTGACCTAGGTGTGTTCCTGTCTGTAAGCAGGAGGAAGGCTCTGACTTGTCTGTGCAGGAGCTTGGCACTTGATCCTACATAGTTTTACACTGAGACATCCTGCAATAATGCAGATCTCAGTAATGTGTTCCTACCTCCCCATTGCTTCCTTAAACTTTCTTAGTTAACTGTTCTGTAATACTGGTTAATGTGTGTCTGCTTTCCTGCTTCCTCCTGTTACACCTGTACAGAAAACAGTAACAATTTATAAGCTCTATGACATGAAAAGTATGCTTTTTATGGCCCCTTTGTTCTGCCTGGAATTTCACGTAAGACAAAACACGATAGCCTGAGACCGGCTGTGGAAATGGGTGGCCTAGACTGGACTGCACCTGCTGCTTATACTCAGTTTAACACCTCTTCCTTCTGTATTTAGGCTCTTAAAATCTCTGATCTCCACAGTAGGGCATCTGTTGATTTTAATGAATATCTAGATGTATTTAATACTTAAATGCAGGTGGTTTGAGTCACTCCACTTTATTACACTTAGGTCTGTGACTTAAAAATTTGTTCAGACTTGTCCTTTCATACAGTTATCCAGAATGGAGACAGAGAATTGGTGTTTCTCCTGAGTGATGTAGCAACAAGAAATTAAGGTATGCATGCCAGTTCACCTGAATTCTGTTCCTAGGTGGAAAAACTTGCTGTGGATGAATAATATATTCTTACTGTTTCTGACTGCTACATAATAAAGCTATGCCTCAAGAAGTTAAGCCTTTGTGTAACAATAAGCATGATCATGTTGAATGCTTGCATTTCACAGAATGCTCAGGAGTCAGACTTCAGGATACTGTGTGATGCAGCCACTCTCACGTTCATCATCCAGTGTAAGCAGTTGTTGTAGTGGATTGAGGGAAAATGGAACATCTGAGGAAGAGGAGAATGACAGGGTGGGTGTATGATCTCTAACAAACAGAGGCTACCCTCCCTGATTTTTTACCAGGTGCATTATTAAAACACATCTTCTTTGCCCTCTCCAGGAGCTGACGTGCTCACTTAAGGGCCCTCCAAAACAGGATTCAATGGTTCAGAGTATGTGGCTGGATGACAGTGACTGCACACCCAGTACTTCTAGCTCACCAGGTAAAAAAGAAAGAAAAATAGAAAAAACCCTCTATTTATGCTTCTAGAAGCATATGAGAGGTTGAGCCAAATCTTTTGTATGCTGTACGTAATAGTTTAGAAGCACAGGTAGATGATAGCCCAGAAAAAGGGGGAGAGCAGCTGCCATGCAAAGTTTAATTGGGAAAGAATTCTTCAGTGCCATGAATAAATAGTGCTGTACATACTGCAAAAGGAGTTACAGTAGACTGCAAAGAATTAAAGTGTTCATGTTTTTTCTGTGGAGAGCTATGGTTGCATTTCTGAATGCAATCCCTGTATAAACTAGATAGTTTGGATATGGGATTATAGGAACTACTTCCTGAACAAAGCAGTGTGCTCCTAAGAAGGTGGGTAATCAGGAAGCCAACCTGCACTGAGAGTTTTTTGCCAAGGTTGGGCTCTTAGTCTAGGACTTGATTAAAGCTCAGATGTAGTTGATTAAACTCGGCTTGGATCCATTCACTATAATCATCCATTCAGTGCAGAGATGATTATAGTCCTTAGAAGTTCTCTTCAGTCCTGTAGCAGAGACACCTGTTGTGTTTCCTGCTGTAGAGGTGGATCACCTGCCCTGATCTCAGACCCTGTTTGCAGTTGCATTTCACTTTTGTTAAAATGAACTGGTTTGGATTGAAGCATTTCTTGTTGAGCATCAGCCTTAAGCTAAAATTAGGGGAAGTTTAAATCAGTTTCAGTCTGTTTCTGAGAATGGGGCTATGTAAGATTTTGGGAAAGTATGATTGAAAAGACTAAGCTTTTGAGTTTGGGAAGTCATTAGAAACTGTGAAAGGCAAAACATTTAACATTTGTTGCTGGAAGACTGGAATAGGAGCATGTTGAGGTGGTAAGAGATACTAGGGATCATGTGTATGGCAAGGAAGAGAGCTGGTTGGAATGAACCCTGAAATCTTTATAGGAATTGTGTGAAAGAGGATTGTTTGTAATGATTACAAGGGTCAGAAAGTGGAGTCAATTTACTTTGAGAATAGAGTTAGGTCTCATTCCCCACAGCTCCCATATATGAGATACCAAGAGTGGCCATCAGATCCCTGTCTGTATCTTAGCAACACCATTGAAGATGTGATACTGTCAGATATTCTGCAGAGATCTCTGTTCTATCACATATTCCTCTTTTGTTGTGGATGCTGGAGGCAGGGATGCTTTCCATTGGCCTCTTCTGCTTTTCACAGATAGTTTCTCTGTCTGCTGACTCAATTATCTTACAGTATATAGATCATTAATATGCATCACTGAGAATAATCATTACGAGAATGCAGTGTTAACTTCAATGTAATTTTTAGGTTTTACAACCCTGGGGACAGAGAGCAATATCCTGGTGGTTTAGTTTTGCCCTTTATTAAGTTATTTAGTAAGTATTCAGCCACAGTTAATGCACTGTGTAAAATCAGACCAAATGAATTTTCTTTAATGTAGAAACCTAAGACAAGCCCACTGTGAGTCTAGATCCTACACTGAATAAATCCAGCATTCCTGACCCATGTACACATTCTTGGCTTCCCCAATTTGCCTTTCAGATTGAGAGAGCAAAGTTACAGGGAAAAAAAAAAGTCAGTCTGTGGTCATTATGCTTCCAGATCATGACATAGTGAACTGCCTTTGCCAAAATATTTTCTGACTTGGCTTTAAAGTACCAACAAGTCTCATGTGCCAGTGCATGTCACATGAGGCAGAGGTGACTTTCTCCCTAGCCTCAAGGGCAGGATAAAAATTCAGCTATAACTCTCCTCAACACTTAGACACTACCAGATGTTAGGTGTATTTTTATTTAGTTACTTGGCCTGTTAGTCACTTCCTACAAAAAACATACATCATTATTAAATTCTAGCATGGTGGAACTGGGATATATACAAAATAGAGAAGAACCCTCATATTGTAAATTCATGTTGTTTAAAACCACAGCATTTGGCAGTGATTCACCAATTTTGATTTTAAATCTCAGTTTTAAATTACATAATTGCACTGGGAAAGGGGATAGTCTACCTTGGAAAAAATGCTGAAACAATAATTGCATCTTATCTGTTTCCTAGAAAATACTGGTGTGATCACATATAAGTTAAAAAAAAAAAAAAAAAGAAAGAAGTGTTCCTGGGAAAAGCATCTGAGCATACCATCTTAGCAGGAATCCCTCATTAGCTTTCTTCGTTTTCCTGATTGAATGGTGGTTAGATTTGCCATCAGAGGTATTCACCTGCCCATTCTACCCCTTAGCACATTCCACACTAAACTCTTTAATTCAAACTCTTTCCATTTTCCTCTGATTTAAAGAAAAGATTTAGTATTTTATAATAGAGATTTATGTTGTGATGCAGCTATGCAAAAACTCCCACAAACTGTACTGGTTGGAAATTAGAATATTTAGTATTTTTAACCATAGAATGGATAGAATGGAGGATCATCTAAGAGTTAATGTAGAATGGTTTAAGAAGGCTGTTATGTTAAAGACATCTTACTCATTTTTTAAGAAATATGTATGGTAAATATAAGCTGATTACAGAAAGAAGAAGAATGCTTTTAATTTGTGAATTTTGCAAGCATTTAATCCCTGGTTTTGCCATGGTGTTGATATGTGATGAGAGGCAAATTCCTTAAGCCCTGAGGTCAGATATGGGAATCTCAAGGGAGGGGTCAGAGGGAGAAAGAAGAGAAACACTGTGAGAGCGTAAGATTGGCGTCTGCTTCACAAATGTGTATCCTTGAGAATAAGGTGTTCAGATTGTCTGGAAACAGTGGCTGATGACTATTTTTTAAATGAAATTAAAGCAGTCACTTTCCTCACGTTTTGAGCTGGAATGAGAAACAGGTGAAGGTAAACCTAGTCAGTTTGGGCATAAGTACACTCCTTTCACTCTTACCTGTGGATGAGCCACAGATCTGTGAGAACTTTGGAGTAAAACCAGCTATGTGTGCAGCTCCTGGGATACCCTCTTGATTATTTTTGTATTGTTCTGTGCTTGGTTCCCTTCTAGGAAGCAGGTTGCTTCCTTCCAGCAGTGTTGCTGGCTCCACTGGAAAAGGAAAAGGCAGCAAAGCAGAGGCTCAGCACCATAATCCAGTAAGTGCTTTAATAAAATGTTTTCTTCTCGTTTGCACAGAGATAAGGACGGGAGAAAAGAGAGAGGCTTGATTTAGGTGTTGCTTGCTGAGGGTTGAAAGGGCGGTAGGAAGGCGCTGGCAGGGGGAGGTTAAAGCGGTGCCTTGTTCTGCAGGCCTCCATTTTGTGCTGTGTGTGATGTCAGCGCTGGAGCACTGTCTGCTGCACGCAGGGTGAGGAGCACAGGTAATGGACACGGGGGAGGAGAGCCACGGGCCCCTGGCCATCCCTGCCTCTCTGAGACAGTGCAGCAAGTGCTGTACAGCTTCTCAGGAAACAGAGTTAGTCCTTTACCCTCCTCCCCAAGCGATCTTCCGTGGCAAGTGACTCTGGCCTGTCTGATTTACCTAAGCGCTCCCTTTCCTGGCTGCCTCCTCCCTCTCAGGGAACAGCATTTCCCATTGAGATTCTGTTCTCTACCCTAATCTAGGCACAGTTTCTTTCTCTTCTTTGTCTTTCATTGTTCAGTTTCCTTTGCTCAGATACAACCTACCTTTCTCTGTGCCTAACCTCAGCTTTTTATAATAGTTTCATTACTTTGTAGAACCCCTTTTTGTTGCTCATTTTCTGATGTTGTGCCTATACACTTGCTTATTTGCTTTCAGCCTAGCATTGGTGGGACCTACTTGTCCATGCCAGTTTCACAGCTTTTCCAGACATGGGAAGTGGGACTTGATTTCCTGGTGAGGGAAAACGGGAACACCACTTCAGGATTGTTCCCTAGAATTCATAGTCCAGTTTTGTCTGTGTTGTTGAGTCTTTTTGCTCAGTGTCCCTTTCCTTGCCCAGTATCTTGTCTGGCCTGACAGCTAAACAGCTACCTTGAAAGTGGTGGGGATGTGAGGCTCTCAGGAACCAGTTTGGTATGCAGCTGAGTAGAAGAGGATCACCTTTATGGAAGAAAATTCTTCCAGCTATTCCTAAACATTCCTAAATAGCTGGTAGTTCTTACCGTTTCTGTTCAGATCCTCAGCGCTCAAGTTTTAGCTGCCCTGCCACCTTGTGGCATTCAGAGCAGTCAGGTGAACAGTTCAGCCCCATGAGGTGGTGGCCACTGGCGCCGCAGCAGATCAGAGAAGGGAGCTGATACTCGCCACTGAGGCTGCTTCAGTGTGTGCCACAGCAGAGATCAGAACTGAGCGTGACAGTGCAGCTGCCAGCCACTGTGTACTGGGGTCATCCCCAGAGTTTTTGCCAAGAGCTTGTGCTCACAGCACGGCTCTGTAACATAGGAGCAAGGTTGTCTAAATGAGGGGCAGAACTCCCTCAAAGTTCTGCTCCCAAACAGGCACATTTTGCTCAGAATAGGTAGAGAGTCAGAATTGCAACAAACTCACTGATACAAAGGCAAAGGCTGTGGTTTTGCCTTTACTGGTGGCTGTTATAGGCAATAAGCAATATATCTCAGTAGTACTCAAATATGATTTTAGTATCTAAGGTTTTGAGCATGTCATTTCCACTGATTTGAAGTAGGTCAAAAAGCATTTAAGATAATTTCATTAAATACATTGCAGTCTGTAGGATCCATGTCTTTTGGTTCATCTGCCAAATCAACAACATTCTGCCACAAAGGCTGGTTATTTTTCAGTTGATCTGGCTCAAAGAACAAAGTTTCACAAGACCCTGCTTTTCACTGTGACATTATTTGCAGATGTTCTTTGAATTCTCACCAGCTCCTTACCAGAGCACATTATTTCCACAAAAGGGCATTTTACCCACTCCTGAGATAGCACTACTGTCTTAAAGTGATGTTTTAGTCATTCAATTTTATCACAACCTCTGAATCAGTTTGATAGCACAGATTGGAGACTAGCAAGTTTCAGGGGAGAAATGGGAAAAAATTTCTGTAACATGGCTTCAAGGGGCTCAAAGAAACCTATGGCACCCACATCCGTGGTAACCTCCTTGTCATTCTAACTCCTCTTATCTCTCACAAAGTTTTCCTTAAGTTCCAGACTGAATTTGCCCAAAGACTAATGGGTGCACTGGTAAAAAGGAGGAAGGACTCCTCCAATCCTAGGGTATTTCCTGAAGAGCTGAAAGAAGTAAAAACTGTGGATGGGGGAACAAATGATACTCCCACAACACTCAGAGGTGTAATAACATGAAGGATACAGATTTTTTTTCTGATGCTTTGTTCTAGGATTTGCTGTTCAAGTGAAAATACGTGAATGTGCTTTACTCTAAAGTTCAGAAAAAGACAAAAAAGGGAATTCCAGCTACTGCTGTTTCATTCAGTGATGCATCAGAGAGTGTGGAATCATTGTGAAATGAAACTTCACATAAATCAAATTTCTGTGTGTCATTCCAATTCAGCCAATACAGGGCCAAGCTCAAACAATTTCCATGTGAAATTTCTTATTTTAATTGTTTGCGTACCTTTCCCTCTGCAGACTACATGCTTGGAAGTCCCTCACAGCCATATCCAAATCACCTTTGGATAGGCAGCAATTAGGGCATCCTTGAGGAAGCAAAACAGAGTCTACTTCAGATACCAGCTGAACCTACAGTGGTGTTCACAACCATCCTCCAAAGACATTCCTGTAAAACCTGGATTAGTTAAAAACCCCTGCAAGGTTTGGGGCTGGTGCCCACAAATGCACGTGTATGGTGGTTTCCTCAAACATCAGTCACTGAAGGTGTATCAAATATTGTCCAGGATGGGGACAGTTCCTTTTAAAGTACTTGATTGGTTTGCTAGGCTTTTCTTTAGGCTTGAATTGTGTCCTTCCAGCAGCCATGATGCAAAGTAAAAGGAAGCATTAATATCTTAGCCTGTGCTTCTTATGTCTATGTAGTACACTGGACTTAAAATAAAAGGAAATGTAGCCAGCTTCTCTTAGGTTTTATGTGTGTGTGTATGTGTGTGTTTTTAAAGGACAAGCAGGAAGACATAAGAAACCCAGAGATCACAGTCCAGTAACTACGTAATCCTCATGTTTTTAGGGTAAAGGAAAGAAAACCAACCAGGGAAGAATGTTCATTCTGCAAGAAGTTAAATCTTTAATGTTAATCTTTGATCTGTTGAAAGAAAGGAAGCACATTTGTATTGGTAAACACCTCACCAGGCTGGTAATACTGGAAAACCTTGATATTTTTCAAAATTACAGATGAGACCAAGCAGTAAAGTTAACTGTTAAGGATAAGAAAGCCATCTCTCCATACAATTGAATACATTCAAATAACCACTGAAGACTGACATATATATTTTCCTTCCTATATATTTCCCCAGGACTTTTCACAGCTTAGGGCTTGGAACTGGTCCCAGCCACTTTTCACCTGCAAGACAAACCAGCACAAAAGAGATATGTTAAAATGTAATCCATACAAGTAATTGGCTGGTCATTTTTCTGCAGCAGGATTACTGTTCCTACTCTGGTGAAGGGTAGCTACTGGTGATGGAATACAGATTTATATCTTGTTTGGTGTGCTACAGCCAGCTCCATAAATCTTTCACTGTCTAGTCACAACTGAGACTGCACAGAAGAATTATTTTCCTCCATTAGAGATGAGATGTTCTACAGGTCAGGGATATTCCACATGAGGGAGAAATCAGTTCTTTTTAGGACTCATTTTGCAGGGGAGCTGGGTGCTGGCTTAAAAAAAAGCAAAAAAAGGGTGCAAGGCTGCAGCGTCAGAGAATCAAAAAGAAAATCTGATTAAGTCCTTGGAGCTGAGACTAGAAACCAGGCCACAGCATTTCAGTCAGTATTAGTGACTGCTGTAGTGAGTGTTGGGTACTCTTCTTCCTCACTCTCATGTTCATCAAGAATATTTTATAGAATCAGAAACTCATCCAGAACACTAAAAAAGAAAACCTCAAAAAATTTCCATTCTGCTTAAGCCTGTGACTAATACTAATTTGCATTAATTCTATCTGCTGAATGCTTTCCACAAGTGCATGAGCTAATTATGTGCATTACTCTTTCTAGAGACACTCTCTCAAGTGCCAAATCTTGAGATGAATAGTCAAATGCCCTGTAACTCATAAAAACAGGTAACTTTAGTTTTATTATTTATCACAACCTACTTCAATCTCTTAAAGAATTTAAAGTGTGTATTCTGTTAATAGAAAAATGAAAAGAAGGATGGTCAATATATGAACAACCTAAACAGCTGTGTAAGTAGACACAAGTTATGGACTGGGGAGCTGTAATAATGTGCTTTTAATAAGAAGGAACAGATATAAAATGAAAATGTTAGAACAAAAAAAAAAAAAAGCACTACCAGCCATAGTCATAATCTTAGCCAAGGTCTACTGTCCAGTACCAAAAGGTTACATATAGATATTCTGAGAACTAAACAGTTTCAGTAGTGTTTTGAGAATGGCACACAGAGCACAAAGCCTTGAAAAACATCAAGAGAGGGTGTGTGAGAGAGAGAACTCAAGTTACTTCTGGTCTGGAAAAGGATCATTTGGTCATTTTAAGTGTACTGGGACAGATTTCAGTCAGCAGTTTCATTCCAGGAGAAGGATAACCAACATTATTTAACATTTGAAAGCCCTTAAGAGTGTTTTACTCAGCTGCATTATGTATTTTATTCCAAGAGGGTGAAAGCATGAAACCAAGGTGATGAAATGAGGTAAACTCACCTATAATGCTGCCTAGCAGCTCTAAACGATCAGAGCCAAAAAACAGATGAGGTTTCCCATCATAATGTGCCACAACAGCAGGCATCCCAAATGCCTATTGACGCCATGGAGATGAAACAGAGAATGTTATAATGGGAGAATTTCTTGCAGTCATATCATCAATCATCAGGAATAAATCCCAACAACTTTTTACTTTTTTTCCTCCCCTTCTTTTTACCTTCATTCTTAAAGATAAGCCTAATGAAGCCATCTGAAAATGGGTGACTCTCCAGAGCCTGTGTGCCCCTTTTGAAGGAGCATAAAAAACAACCTGATTAATCCACAGTTCTATTCCAAGTAGCAATAAATGGTATCTCTCAGTACTGGTTCTGTCCTTGGAATGAGTGGGTCAACCTTGTTTTCCCAGGTGACAGTGAGATGAACTACCAGCAACAGTGAGGTGGCTTTCACCCACTGGAAAACAAGAAGTCTATATAGTGCTTTCTAATCATCACCCTCATTGTTCCCTGCTTCCCTGTATTCTTAAGAGAGAAAGAAGGCACAGCTGTGAAGCCCAGTGCCATTGGAAGCATCTCACCCCATATTTCAGTGCTTCAGTTGTTGTGTCTTTCAGTCGGTCCTTCACTGGAGGGGATGAAGTCATTTCAAGTGCTTTCTGGGAGAGCTCTGCTGAGAGCCCAGCCTGTCGGGCAATCTACGAAAAGATGATTTAATTAAGAATACTCTAAAAGTAAATATTCTAATTCCTACCCTGGCCTAATTAATTTAATCTTCAGGATTATCACCTAAGGTCTACTAACAAAAAAAATTTTCAAAATACTCTTGAAGCACTTCTTGCACAACTGTCTTGCTCTATTCCCAACCTATTCATCATTTAACAACTCTCAGATACAAAGTAGAAGAGACATTTTAAATCTTCCAAGCCCCAAATCTGCACTTTTTTTCCCCAGGAGTTCCTAAATCAAAGAAAAAAAATGAAAGAACCTTAGATACAATGACTCATCAGATAACTTACAAAAAAACTCAAACTGGTGTTATGAAAAGTAAAATCTCACCGCACAAGCCTACCAAGACAGAAACAGTTCATGAAATGCAGCCACATGGGATCTGTAAGTGACACTGAATGAAAGACACCAAATCACAGAGGTTTAACAGTGGCTGGTGTTACTGCTGGATCTTTTTCACCTCCCCTGAGCCTCTGCCACACAGGAATGAGACAAAGTAGCCAAATTTAAACGTTCAGTGTTTACCTGGTAACAATGACTTAAAGTACTCTTTGAATAAAGTATTTCACAAAAAGAGAGAAAAAAAAAAGAAATGCAGTATTGCACATGGAGAAGTAATCCTGCACATGCAGGTGTTAATGACTTTTTCAATTACTTTTTTTGTTTAGCACCCACATTTTCATGTGCCTTCTACTAACACATCAGGGCAATGAGGAGCTCTTTTTGACTGTGCTTGAAGAGGAGGTTAAACAAGTGTACCACTGGACTAGAACAAAATGCTTGGTAGCCACAGTGTTTAGAGTGCAATATTGACACTTTGAAGTAGTATTTGGTCCTCACCATTTCAGGGCAGAAAGGGGATTTAAGTGGACTGGGGCAGAATTGAGACCACACGTTGCTGATACAGCAATTTATGTGAAGCTGCTTTTGAGTAAATAAAGAAGTAAAAGAATACTAAGGAATTATTATCAAGTTTTAAAAGTACCATTTTTCTGACTGATGTGTAAAATAAGTCCACCTGTAAAGACTCAGATGGTTGGCTGGGACCTCTCAGCCACCTTTGGATGACAAATTTCCAGAAAAGTCTAGTACTTGTTGCAGGAGTGAATGAAGACAGACACAAGCAGACAAGGGGACACCTCCCTCTCTGCATTGATGCCCAGGGGGGATACTCATTGACTGCCAAACTGTGACTAAATTAGGGATTGTTCTGAGTATGAAGTTTGTGGCGCATGAAGTTCTTGCTTTATTTAAATAATGATGGATTCAGAGACAATGTGGCAATGTTCTGTATATATTTATGTATTGGGTCTAGCTGGAATGGAGCTACTTTGCTTCACAGCAGCTCCTATAGTTTTGTGTTTCAGATCTGTGACCAAAACAATGCTGATAACATCCTAATTATTTTAGCCATTGATGAATGGTGTTTGCACAGTGTCGAGGCAGTCTCTGGTTTTCACTCTCCCCCCACAGTGAATAAACTGGAGCTTCACTAGAGGCTGGGAGATGACCTGAACTAACCCAAGAGACAGACCAGGCCAGATGCCATGCTCAGCAGTAATTGATGAGGAGGGAGTTTAGGCAGGTTAAGCTTTTTCTTGGGAACTGGCTGAGCATCAGTCTATGTGTAGGGATTCTTTGTTTTCTTTCACTCTGCTTCCAGTTCTCTTTTGTTTATTAAGTAATTTTATCTCAACCCACAAGTTTTCTGGCTTTTATTCCTCTTGTCCTTTTCCCCTGTCCTTCTGGGCAGTGGGAGGAAGCAAGTAAGCACCTGTGTGGTGCTTGGCTGCCTACCAGGGTAAAAGTACCACTTTAATTATATCTTTAGCTATAAATATAGTTAATTATTTAAATTATATATTTAAATAAAAAATAGCTTTAATAACATCCTTCAAATCTTGCTTCTTAAAAAGTCAAAGTGCAAACCTTTGCTGAAACTTTGGTAAAAAAGCTACACTAAGATGAAGCTGAAGTGCAAGAACTAGACTTAGGGAGGAACAGCAAGACTGCAAACTTAAGATTTCAGCTAGAGATGTTAGATAGGAGAGACTAGTCACGGACAACTCCTCTCTTTTCTTCGCATTCCAAGTACTTATAAAATAATGAAGAAAGGAGAGACCTTCAAGAGGATCTGCTGGTATACTACCTCACATGCTATTACAGCTTTTACTGTAATAAACAAAATTGAAATGGCAAAAGAAAAAACATCAGGAGTATAATTTCCAGATATATAAAAGGGCAATATAGGACTGAGCTTAACAGAAAATCTGACTCCATCACTCTAAGGAAAGTCACCTTCCCCAAGTGTTGCATTATGGCTGAACATTTCACATAGCAGCAATGCCCCAATGCAGAAACTTTATACTTTTGTGACATTTAATAACATAGTATCAATAGGTAACTCATTGTCCGGCCTGGGTAACTTGCCACATGAATTACCAAAAAAAAGGTGTATTCTGGTTCTGAGGAAAAAAAAAAAAAAATTAAAAAAAAAATCCAAACAGAGCTGGAAGGGAATTT